GGCAGGCTTGAGGCTCATTCTAGGAGGGTCATCTGCACTGTGGTCTCAAGAGATGCTGCTGTTTCTGGGCACATTATTTCCAGTATATGTGCTGCCGAAGGGAGCGCTGGGCACGTTGTTTCTAAAGGGTGTGTTGCGGGGAGGCAGAGATGCTGTATGGGTAGTATGTCCATATGTGTGCTGGGGACTGGGGTGTGTAGGTGAAGCAAGCACGTGCTCGGGATGCTGAGTCCAACGGGACTGTGGGAGAACATAGGAGCCATAGTGTGAGCCCGGGGTGTTTGAGGAGGGAGAAACCCCATCTGGCCGGTGAGTCAGAGGAGGTGGCATTTGAGCCAAACTGAAGAGGGCAGGATGGATTGAGCTCTAGAGAAGAGGTTGGGGCCAGGGCTGAAGGGAAGGGGGTCTGATTGTGTCTGATGGAGAAGAGAACGCATTGCAAAGGGGCTGGAAGGGCGGCTGGGACAGGTTGAGAAGGTCTTGAAATTTGGGATAAACAAGGAGCTTTGACTTTGCTTTATAGACAGCGAGGACAGTTTTTTGCATTGCAGTGACAGTATGGTGCCCCCACTTTCCATCTGGTGCCGTCTGAGGGATTCGATGGTGGAAGAGAGAAGATGAGCCAGAGAACAGGCTGTGAATTGGGTTGGGTGATTATTGGGGCTGGGGGCTTCACCATGCTTCCAGACCCTTCGTCATGATCCTTTAGGTCCAGTGAGTTAGCAAGCACCTTGGGTGAGGCCAAAGTGGGGCTTCCTCTTTCTTCCCTCTTTTGCAGAAGTAACTTGGAGCTGACTGGACAGGAAAGAGAAACGTCGGTGTTGGCCAGGGTGCCCACCCTGGGACTAGGGGGTCCTTAGCCGGGCCAGCAGACTCCAGGAGATGCAGGAGGTAGAGACGGTCAGGAGAGCCAGGCGTGGGGTCTCCGGAACTCAGGGAGCGAGAGGAGGGGCTGCCAGAGAGGGTGGGCGAACAAGACCCGGGGGGAGGCGGACCAGTGGTTCCAGTGCGTGCACAGTGGGGGCTTGCGACAGGGGCCAGCACTGGTTCTGTATGGTGTGCCTCCTGCCCGCGTCAGGCTCTGGAAATGGTCTTGGGATTGCCCTGCCTCCCGGGGCTTTCTGAGCCCCAGGATTCCCTGCAGGGTGCTGCCTGTCCAGCCGCCCGGCTCCTTTTCCTGTCGCAGGCTGAGTGGGCGGGCGGTACGGGCTCATCGTGCCTTGGTTGCCATAACCTGTGACATTTCCTTTCCAGTTGCCGGATTTATTATAAGGATATGTACAGTTTGTTGCGTTGTATTGCGCCACCCGTTGGCGTAGGGAAGAACTGCCCTCGTCGGTTGGCCTACAAGGTTTGCAACTTCAGGGCCTCCATGGGACGTACTCTTCCCTGCCCGAAATGCAAACGCAGCACACACTCCCTGCCTGGTTTGGGAATGAGGACACCTCACCTCTCTTTCCTCCCGTCCTGCCCTGCCCCGCACTCCAACCTCCTGGACGCTCTGGTCCCCCATCTGATCTCCCGACCCCTCCCGCTGGCTGGGGAGAGGCCGCCTTCTGAGGCAGTGCACACGAAGCTTTCTGGCTGGGCCTGGAGGGCAGGGGTCGGCTGCTGGGTGGGAGCTGGGGGCCAGGCCCTGCCTGTGCCCGAGGAAGCAGCTGTCTTTCCCGGCTTTGCCTCCAGGCTCTCCAGGGTGGGCTAATGGTCAGACAGGCTGGAGGCCAAGGGCCCCAGAGGAGGAGAGCATGGGCACAAGCAGACCAGGAGGAGCGGCCCCTCCCAGTCTGAAGAGCCTGACAACCGAGGGGTTTCTGGTCCCCGAGGGAGGCGAGGACAGAGGCAGTGGAGGCCCAAAGACGGGCCCTCCCGCTTCACCTCTGGATCGATCTGCTCAGCCAAGGCTGGGAACCCCTGGGAGGAGGGCCAGGCCCTGGGGCAGCTGTGCCTGCCAGGAAAAAGCTGTCCGCTTTCTCTCCTGGGTGGCCTGAACTCCACCTTGTCTCTGGGACCACAAGCAGGTCCCATAAGCAGGTGTCCCCAGGGGTGGAGGTGAGGCTGCAGGCCTGGTGGCCTGTCTACTCCAAGCCACATCCCACCCCAGCTGCCCACCACGCCCCTGCCCCCTCCACACCCCCTCCAGTCTCCCATTTCCTGCCCATCCCTGACTCCCAGCAGCAGCCCCGCCCTGGGAGGCCTCGGGCATCTCTGGATTGGAGCAGGACTCACCCATCAAGTTTGTCTCTAGAGCCTCGGGGCTCCCCCAGCTCTAGTTTTCTGGCTTGTCTTAGAGTTTTCTCCACTTCTTTAGCCTCTAGGCTAACTTGGAAGCAAATTGAGCGTTACGGAAAGCTATGTTTCTGCCGTGGTTCTCAGGCCGGCCTCATGGGTCATGTAATTCTGTCTGCCGGCCCTCCAGGCATGGTAAAACAGCTCTTTTCTGATTTGGCATTATCTGTGGTTTCTAAAAGTGTAAAATCATAAGTTGACAACCCAAAGCCGCCCCGATACAGCCCTTCCTCATCCCTCCATGTTCATTTGCTCAGATGTCACCCCTGCCC